CCTCAGATTTTTTTTTTTTTTTTTAAATAAAATAAATATTTCACATGAATACTTGAGTTAGTGGCATGGTCACTCTGACAGCTGTCTGGACACATGCAGCTGGATCCGATTGGAGTCTGCTAGGCTTCGGTTCTATTCATTAGAATCATTAAAAACGACCTCACGACCGTGTCTGTCAGTGCCTTCTAGTTCATAACAAAGACTGCTAGTGTTAGCCAATAACTTAGCACTCTTCTCTCTTCCAAATATGGTCCTCAAACCAGTGAATGACGTCACAGCAGCTACGTCCATCCATTACCTTTAGGACAGTGTTGGTTTTGTGAAAAACCAGCCCTGGAGAAAGTGCAGGCTTCCTAAGTTTAAACTTATATTTAGTTGCATATTTTTTCTAAACAGAGATCAAATGTTAACCTTTTACAGATGTGTAACAATGGATTGTTTTCTCAGTAAACAGACAACCCATATTTTGGGTCCATTTGCTTAAATGGGTTTTCTTTACCTACTTTTATGAATTCTGAGGTCTTATATACAGAGAAATGAAGAAACTTTAAAGGCTTCACAACCGTTTAAGCACTGCTGTGTGACTGCTATCACTTTATATTTAAATCAGTTGCATTTTTGAGGAGCAAAAGAACCCACTGTCTGTTCTGCTTTTGTCCCAGCACATGGAATTAGTGTCACTGTTCATTTATTCGAGAGCATAATTGACTCTGACACTACTTTCCACATTAAATATTGATCAGTTTCTGGTCCACCAGCACATAAACAGAAAGAGCATTGTGAATCAGTACAGATACTCACCAGGACTGGTCTGGGAGCTTCCACGGTTCCAAATACACTACATTTCCTTTCTTCTTCTCCCTTGTCCTGCTGAGATACACAGTGTCCGTGTGAGTGTTTTATGGTTGTTTGTGTCCTGATGTGTAGAGAACTTCCAGCAGAATACTGAGAATTTTCTGCTGAAGCAGAGTTTTCGCTGACAGTGGCAGCAAGGGTGTGGTGTTTGCATCTTGTCAAATTTTAGGTAAGTCAACAAAAGACTCATCTTACCAGTTAGCTTGGTGCAGCAGCTTGAGGACTGGGGTGAGCCTGAAGGGGTTGGCGGGTAAACAAAATGTGTAACTGTCTGCTTTTAGAAAGAAGCAGCAATGAGGACAGGTAGGCTGGGACAGCAACTTATAGTGTGGAGGCTCCCAAGGTCAGTTTAGGAAATGATAAAAGTTTCACAGGTGGAGAAATCCCAGATTTGACCAGTAGAGGTTAATACAAAACTGTTTAGAGGACCCAGTCTTATTATTTTTCTTTGATTTTTGTCAACCGAATATCACAAACTGCTGTCCTACTGTTCCAGACTTCTGCCATATATTTGGATGTGCTTTAAAAAATTACTTGTACTACCTGAGGAAACTTCTTTGGATAAAATTATTAATATAAACGTTTATAAGAGAGGGACGATTAAAGAAATCTATGCTATATTATTAGATCTTCAATCTCCTTCTCTCTCCATTCTTAAAGCACAGTGGGAGAAAGACCTTGGGATGACTATAACAGATGAACTCTGGCAATCTTTTCTCCGGAGGGTACACTCTTCTTCGATATGTGCCAGGCATGGGCTCCTTCAATTCAAGGTCCTACACCGATTACATATCTCCAAGGAAAGGTTAGCCAAGTTCTATCCAGGAGCTGACCCTCTGTGTAACAGATGTAAAGCAGAAACAGGTTCGCTCCTTCATACCTTTTGGACATGCCCCAATCTTCATAACTATTGGGTGTCTATATTTAACACTCTGTCAGAGATGTATAACGTTAAATATGATCCCTCTGCTCTAACGGCTATCTTTGGGGTGATACCTCAAGACATCACTATTCCAAAATACTATTCGAATTCTATTGCCTTTGCTTCACTTATCGCAAGACGCCTTATACTTTTAAGATGGAAACAAGAAGCTCCTCCCACACATGAACAGTGGCTTGCAGAGCTCATGAGGTTTTTGCATTTAGAAAAGATGAGATATACACTGGCAGGTTCAACCACCAAATTTCTTAAGGCATGGCAGCCATTCCTGATGTACATGGAAACATTTAAAATGACC